TTTGCGCTGTGTGTCGCTGCCATCGGCCAGTGTAAGGTAGCTTTGACTCTATCATAAAAGTTTATTACCCGTTTTGCATTTTGGGACTACGCAAGAATTCGTCATTACGGGCTATCCAAGACAATTGGTTGTTGGTATGTACACTGAGCCAGGCGCTAGTGTTGAGTTTAATGGCCATGTCTCCACCTTTACAGCACTTTGCGATAACAGCGACACGCTGGTGACAAGATCGCGCGACTGCGAATGGCTGAAATTTTGACACACCCCCGCCACGAAAATTTGCCCTGAGTTTCCAGACCCGTATGTAAGACCCGCGGGCTCCGGACAAAACGCGTAACGCCGTTCGAATCGAGCGATGAAATCTGCCACAATATTTCGACAATTTTCCAAATCGACGAGAATCAGAGATCCCGAGGAGATCCTTGCTTTCTCACAAGACGAACAAGAGCCGCTGGAGAAAGACTTTTTAACAGGTCAAGTTTCAGAATCTCAGTGACGCACAAATGGAATTACTCGCCGAATGCGAAGAAAAGTATAGAGCTCCCGCTCCCCTCTATCCCCCCCTACCCTCCAATTCCCACTTCCCGCTTCCCAGCCATCCCTTTTCAATCCGCCGGCGCGCTCCTTCCTCACCGGCCATTCAAGATTCGCCCCCACCATCGAATGAAAGATGAGGAGCGAGGAGGAAAGTGAGAAAAGGGGATGGGGGAGAAAGAGAGGAAGAAGAAAGAGGATGCCTCGATACACGGGGAGTCGATCGTATCGTTTATTTTTGTACCCCGAGCAGATTATCTTTTTCGTTTTCCAGCGGGCCGCGCGCCTCGCAGAAGCCCTTATTGTGACAGCGTTATTGTCGTACGGTTCTGGAAAATTGCGCACTGTGAAAGCATTCTTAAGACAGGCGGCCTCACGGAATCCCCCGTTTCCTACGGATATCTGGGACATGCCGCGTTCTTACGGAGCGCAACAAGAAGACCGATCGGGATCGATCAACGTTGATTTTCTTACGACTTACATCGCGCTTTATTTCATTTATTTCCTCTCGTATAGAGCGGTACCTCCCTCCCCTCCCCCCCCCCCTCCTCCCCCGTGTATTTCATATCCCGATACCGCGCCTTTCATCCGCCGATTCTCGGACTCATTCTCGGCGCGCTTCAAGTTGCGTTAAGAAAATCTATTCGACGATACAATCAGCCTACAGCGAGACACTGAAAATCTTCACTCTATATACAATAGGACGATTAGAATAACCTATTTGCATCCTCCCCTTTCCTTATAACTCCTGTACATGCCTTTAGGCTGATAGAAAAATATGTAGTATTTGAAACTGTTGCATAGTAAAATAATTATAGTCAGGAATATCATTTTTATAGTAATTATTACTATGACATTAGCAATAGCAACCGTATAGACACAGTGATGCCAACTAATTAAAAAATTTACTATAAAATATAAGCTTTTAACTATTATTCCGTTAAAATATCCAGGTAACGAATAGTAAATCAGCTAATTATTTTTATATAGTAAATACAATCACAATAATAGTAAATTTAGCTACTTTTCTATCATCCACCTTACTGATCACGTGGTAAACAAAAGTGAAGTGGTTCGGAATGTCCTCACTAGAGGGACGCGCGGTACAAGGCTTTCTCGTAAGAAGAAAACCGCTTAGGGTGTTATAAATACGGATAAGTTTACGCATTCGTGTGAGATTACTTATCTTTTCTTCGAAACGTGCTATCTTGTACTATTCTTTATGAGTGCAAAGTGACGTAACCAATGAACATAGTGAACGCAATGTACATATAATAAAAAGCGGGGAATATTACTTCCAATATAAATACGATTATTACTATTACATATAGTTATTCGAAATTTTACTTGTGGTTGTTATTGCAATATTTACAGTACACCCTACCAAATGAAAAGCTCGTTTTCGTTTATGGCAACCATATCGTAAGTCGCATGGACCAATATTGTGTCTACTATAATACATTGGTAGGTCAGCCATAACTTACGTAGTAGGAAGAATTAGAAAAATGTGGTTGGCTCCTAAAATAACTGTAAATTATGGTGAGATTGTGGTAACTGTCAGTTTAGGCTTATTTGTCGCTTATTCTGTCTTCTAACGTCGATGACCAGACACATCGCACAACGAAATTTCCGACTTCTGACATAATTTTCACGTCTCTAATCTGACGAATCTTGTAAGTTTTTATTATAAAAAAGCACCTAATTTCATTTTCCGTTACGCAAGATCCTTATCTTAATTTAGTTCATCTGTTGTCTTTCTGTCCTTCAGACATTTGTAGGCACTTTTGTAGGTTCGTTACCTGAAACGTTGCGATTTATTACAATAAAGAATTGCCAGTAAGGTCGTTTCCACACTTATTCAAATTCTTGATTCCTCGACTGGCGTCACTAAGTTGCCATTGGAATTAAGAAAATCTACACGTTTTCCCAGCGAATTTAATTCCACCAGAAGGACGTGGCGGAATTCAAACAGAAATCATTTTAGATTTCATTCCGCATCAATTTCCATACACCGTCCCTCCGCAACAACCCGCGCTCTTTTATTTATTTCCGCGGCAATTAATAGTAACAGATGAGAAAAGGCGCGCGGTCGGCTTTGTTTCCTAGCGCGACGAGTTCCTCGTCCCGCGAGTCCGCCCGAAAAATTCCGAAGAACTAGCAGAGATCGTATTACACCGATTTACATTTATTCATGGCTCGAGCGTGATAATCTGATCTCTCTCTCCCGGAGCCTGGCGATGCCGCGCGCATTTTAGGAGCAAGGATGCCTAATTCGATCCCCGTAATCCTCTCGCGAGAGACAACGCGCCCGCGCGACGGGGCGCTACGAAACTTACTGCAGGAGAGCAGTTAAGAGTGGATTGACTTTTTACGGGCTCTCGTGGACTAAGCCTGCGAATATCGCCCGTTCCAAGGCGACCTTTTATCATAACAGTTTCCTTTTATTGAGCATAAATAATAATTGTCCGCGTGCCGTTACGCGAGGCGGTTTGCGTTACGCGCTCGGGTCGAATGATTTGAGAACGAGAAGGCTTAGGCGTCGCTTCGTTCCAACCACGTATGCTCCAACGATCTCCGCGAGTTTTAATTGAAAAAGCTACACAGCGGCGATCGCAAGATACAGATCTTGCGGATATCGATGAGATATTTCCTCCACTTGTTAAAAATTGATAGCCTGATGTCCCCCCTCGGCCTGCGTCGTCAATATTCATGCGAATCGTGTGCGACGGCAATGTTAATCGGTCGTTTATATTTCACGGTATTTCGACGCGCTCAATTTATTATAATCATTCGTAACAATTCCCCATTCACATTTTTAGCCTAAATGCCAATCGTATACATGACCGTTGAACGATGAAGCGAGCAGAAATGTGTCAATTTTCGATTGGGCTGAATCTTTTATGCCTCCATAATATTCGCGTGAATCGACGCGCATTTTCACCTCAGCAAACTACGCGCCGCCGTTAAGCCTCGTGTCCGCGATCCAAGGGCCAATCGACTGGCAGCTTTTCCGTAAAAGACGCATGTTGGATTGGCTACACATTTCTCGGAACTGGAACTTGGACACGAGGCTTCGCTAGCGGTCTTGAAACGGAGCTGAAATAGCACACGGTCGCACAATTAAATTGACAGTCAATTTAATTATGCTAACGCGCATCTTTGTGCGGAATCACCGTAACAGATATTAGGAATATAAACGTTGCGAAAAATGTTAAGAAATGAAAGTTATAATTTTCGTTGCACCCTTGCTCCAAAATTCTCATTCACTGCGCAATCTCGGGCGACATTTGTCTCGCAAGATTTTTGTTTAGCAACTCCGCAGCTCGTCCCAGAGAAATAAAGAAAGAAATGAGAGAAATAAGCATGTCGAGTTAAACCCTCAGCGTCAAAGTTGCAAACTATAATCCTCCCTTTTATAGACACCATTTTATCATAATTGGCTTTCAACGGCAGTTCGTTCGAACGCTACTTCGAACACCGTTAATTCGTAATTCTTCGCGCATCGAGAACAAAAAATTCGGATCGCAAGTTGTAATTGTAAGTGAAATATAAGTTCACGTGGAAAAAGAACGCGATTATTCGTCAGAGAAGCGAACCGATACATTTCTAACTCGATGACGTTCTCGTCTAATTCGTCCGAGCAAAAGAGACCTTTTCTCGACGCGAGCCCGCGGACTAGTCGCGTGCCCCTTCGCGAGTCTCGCGATCCGATAAAATTTCGTAACGCGAGATCGAATAACGTGCGTCGCGTTGAAAATTCGCGGCTGACGCCAATCTCATTCGGGCGCTTTATGGGCCTGTTCCGCGGCTATTGTCGCGAGGAATTGACGAACATCCGCGCCGTTTCATTTTTCATAGTCATCAGCGCGCAAATAATACCGCGATACGACTCGGACGTCATCGCTCCTATATTCCTACATTTACATTCATAATTTTGCGCATAACTTGGCGATCTGCGATTTTGCATATTGTATGATTTCATTTAATTGGCTCGCACGGGCGTGCTCTTTTCTCAGGCTGGAGAAGGCTTATCGAAGAGTCTATCAAAATTGCGTTCTCAGCGGTTTGAAATATTAATGCGAATCGCGCGCGCTCGGTTATTGCCGAATGATCGAAAAGCCGTACGATGTATTGCGCCGCGGCACCAAGTTGCCGAGAAAATCTCCAGCGTGAAATACAATTTCTCGCCGTGTCGTTCCGCAGTTAAAGGCGGCTGAAAAAGTTACGCAAGCTCCCCCCCCCCCTCACATTTGTGTCGAACTTTTCATCAATTTCGCGGATTTAATGCCGACACGTTTAGCGCCGTAAACGCGCGCGCTTGTAGTCCGAGGCATATTTTAATTTGGGATCACAAGAATGTTGATTGACGAGACGTGTTGTGATATTCGCGAATAATTAATTGTCAGCGTCGCGCGCACCCGCGGGATTTGCAGCGCAACATATTTACGCGTTGTTACTTGTTTTAGATTTGAGCATCGTGCCGCCGAGGGTCTACCACGCGCATGATTGCCACACAACATGAATGTCGGGCAAAAGAGGTAAGTGAATAAACGTGGACTCGACCGAGCGCACACATGTCGAGCCGTACGCCACTTTCCTCCCAAAGATACTTCCTTTCGCTTGATTTCGCGCAGTCTTAAATCACGCCCGTGATTCTCGCGCGCGAGAGCCTCCGGTTGTCAATGTTCGAAAAAAAAGGGACGAGTGGCGCGGACAAATTGAGGACTTTGGCGCGCGCGCGCGCGGTTTAACCCGGTCTTTTAAAAAGACGAGAGAATGAATGTCTCCAAGTTGCGGAAATTGCATTTGCATCAATGTACAGAGGCCACGGAGCTGCGCAGAGTCCTCTGACCCCTGGCCGCGAGCGTCGTCCCTCCCGGAAATCTTGGCTAAAGCTGACCCCCCCTCGGGTCGGGCGAGATCGCGACGCGGAATTGGGTCCCGCGGACGCGCGCGCGTGTTTTACCTTCTCGTCCTCGTGCGGCGTGGGCGGCGTGGGCGGCGTGTACATTCGCGGCGCGTAGTCGCCGATCGAGGAAGCGCCGCCGGTCGAGGAGCCCTGGCTCCTCGGCGGGCTGAGGTCCGGGATAGCGGCGTGATAGTCCTGGTGGAGTCCGTGGGTGGGCATCACCCCCGCGGGCACCACGGGACGGTACTCCATCGCGCGCACCTCCATGCCGATCGTGGCCGGTCCCTCGGCCGCGGTTCCGCCGCGGCACCGCTACCACGGGTCTCCAATCCCGCGTCTTCAGCCTCCTCGTCGTGGTCGCGATCCTCCTCCACCTCCACCTCCTCGTCGTCGTCGACGGCGTCGTCGTCGTCGTGGTCGCCGTGGTCGTCCGGCGGCGCAGGACACGCGCGGAGGAACGCGCGGGGCTGACCTTGACGTGTCCCGCACTTTCAAAGTCTCAGCTGCTGCGACGACCTTGCACGACGTCGCGGCACCGCGCGATCTCGCGGCTCATAGCGTCGATCTCTCGGCGGAACCGGCGGGACGGGACTCAGCGGTGTTCCGGCGCGGCACCGGCGCGGCAACGATTCATCGATCTTCTGTCCGATCCGCGACGGCGGTCCCGCTCATCTCCCTCGATCGCGCGCGCACGCCTCGCGGGGGTGGCACGCGCGAGCAACGCGGCCGCGACTGAGGATACGTAGTATTTAAAGGGGGACCGATGCGGGAGGAGGAGGGTGGGCGAGAAGACACGGGTGAGAGGCAGGACGGGTACGCGCACTCGCGGACGGTGTTCACACTCTCGTCGTCGAACGCGTAATGTTCGCGCGGCCGATTTTCACGCGCCGGTCGGACGAAAAAAATAACAAAGCCGAACAAGGCGGGAATCACCGACGGCCAGGATAACGTTGTCCTCGGTGTCCGGTCCTCCGGACGTTATCTTGCGCGAAACGAACTCTCGGGTGACGGAAATCGGAGCGCCGGCGGCTAGAGCGGCTACGGGCTCCTACGGCTGTGCGATACACTCCGTTCTCTCCGCTCGGCTGTGCGTGTGGCTCCGTGTGGCTACCTCAGGGTGATGCTCACCCCTTGGCTACTTTTTGCCGACTGAATGTTTTGCGCCGCCGTGGCGGCCCTCGGAACGGCCGGAGCGTGCACTATCCCCACCAGGGGCTTCTCTCTCACCAAGCCGCCGGCTAAGCCGAGCGCGCTACGACGGCGCGCCGTCTCGCTCGCTCCTGCGGCCGTCGCGCGTACAGCCGACCGCCCCACCACCGGCGAGAGAGGCCGCCGCTTCTCTCCCTACGACGACGACGACGGTGGACGGCGACGGCGACGGCGACGATGACAACGACGGCGACGATGGTGGAGCGACCGAGAGGCCGAGCGTCGAGGCTAGGCGCATACGTGAGAGAGGCACGGAGGGATAATTAAGCGGGTACATCGCGTCCTCCGTACCACCGTCTCTCTGGTTCACGCGCCTTCTCTCTCTCTCTCCCTCCCTCTCCTTTTCTCTATCCTCGTCCCGCCGCTCTCTGTCTCCCGCCGCTCTTTCGAACCACCGCGAGATCACTCCGTCCTCGTCGCTCGCTCGTGTCTCCATCCTCCCTGCGTCCTCTCCCCCCTGCCAGCTCCTCCTCTACTTGTCTCACGCTTCTAGACCGGCGTCTATTTTACGGGTGCGAGGTTACTCCGTTACTCTATCCCCGGATAGAGCCCAATGAGGACCGTCACGAGTAATCCTTTTTTTTTCCGCGCGGCGATCGAACAAAAAAGAAAAGAAGTCGCGTTTCTGGAGCGTCGCGTCGCATCGGTCGGCCGGCCGGTCGGTCGGTCGGTCGGTCTGTCGGTCTGTCGGCCAATCGATCGGGATCGCGGAATGTCGAAGAGCACGTGTAATTATCGTGCAATCAGTAGGGAGTTCGCGAACCGTCCGCGGGCATCCATAAATCAGAATAATAGTACGCGATCGCTCGATACCACCCGTCATTATCCCGTTGTTTACCGTCTCCGCTGGGTATATCGCTTCCTCCGCTCGCGGAAACGAGCGTTTTCTTTTCAAGAAACTCGTCCGACGGTATTACATTTTTCATACAAAGTATGATTCCGATGTTTTCCCGTATAAATCGGCGCCTTTCGACAGACGCCGGAGGGAGGGCGGAGGAGAGGGGGGAGAAACAAGCTAGTTTGCAACCGGACAGCGGTCGAGCGGGAGAAAAAAAACTCACTTGACTTCGTCTAATAGTCGAGCAGCAAAGGGGGAAAACGGGAAACAAGTAGCTCTAAAAGTGCGTCGTTACTTGTTCACGTCGCGGGTATATTGCTATAAATCGGGATAAACACTCGGCGGTTAAAGCGACAGTAATTAAGCGGCGATACCTGCGCCCTTCCGCCCCGTTTCACCCTTTTCGGTCCTGCGCGCAGCGTCGGCACGAGTCGAGTTCGAGCGGGCGATTTACGAACCGCCGCAGAAGCGGCCCCCGGTCGTATCGGCCAGAAGATATAAATACTCGGCGAAAATTTCGCGTTGTCGCGCAGCCAGGCGACGCGTGAGAAAGTAATCTCTCGTTCTCGCGCCTAATCGCTTATTTGCGTTTGCGTCCGCGAGCAGCAGAAATTGCCGCGCGGGAGAGAAGGGAAGGAAAGAACGCGCGCGCGACGGCCGCCGCGACGCGATGCTAATCGATTTGTCTGAAGAACAGAATACGCTTTTTGTCGATTTTTCGACCGGGCCGAGAACTCGCGACGTGAAACCTGTTCCCCGCGTGATCGATCGCTTATGGAATGTGAACTTTACCTCGTCTAGCCGAACTCTCTTGCCCGCCCGCCCGCCCGCGCGCGCGACCGAGCAACACGTAATGGATGCGCATCCACGTTGACACCGGCGATAATTATGGCGATAATTAATTAATCACGAGTCGCACGCGTACACGCGATTTTATCTCGCCCGTTCCCACCCGCCCGTAAACTCACGCGACGTCCTTTCTTTTCGGAACACGTCGAAGAAGAGCACTGTTCTTACTCGACTCCATGTGCGTCACTTGCACTTTCGACAGACTTACGGAGTCTCAATAGTCTAGTTTACACCGATCGTTTCATTTCAGCCGATCAGCCAATGACTAAATCTATTTACTAGTTATTTACTACTTGATACGGGAACGCGTAGTCTATTCTTACTATATGTCTACGGTGTATACGTACTCATCAAAGCCGCACTACCACACATACAACTTTTCTCTCATTGGTCTGCCCAGAGCAATGTCGGATGCGCAGAAGGGATCGACGCAAAACGAAACAAATGACGGAATGGATCTAACCTAACCTAACCTATTAGTTATACTGTGGTATAACTAGCACGTTCACCCTCCGTCGCTCTATTTCGGTCCCGATCATGTCATCCCGACCAACGACATATACAGAGTGTCTGATAAGTAACTGATCAATCGAAATATGTAGGTAGATTAGGGCAAACTGAAGAGAAAAGTCAGATACCATGATGCAAAATTCGCAATAGTTATTGAGTTATTAATTATTACGTCTGAGCGAATGAGCGCACGTAAAGAAAGAGGAGCAAAAAGAAAAAAGAAAGAAGAAGCATTCTAGGTTGCAGAGCGATAAAATACTATCATTGCCAATGAAAAAAGGTTAGGTAACAAGCTACAGTGAGAAAGCAGTAGATGCAAATCAACCATCTCTGTCTCTAACTTCCGGCTTCACCCGCTCTCTAGCAATATATACGCTCTCTAGATATGATATGCTTGACTGGCAATGCTCGATATTTCGAGATATCAAAATGTTCTGGCATTCCTGCCTATGTGTGTACGGTCGAGGTCAGAAAGGTTGTCCGACGGTGTACAAGGAATATTCCTATGTATCATTGTACAAATATTTGTACGTATCATTCCTTTGCTCTAATAACGTGTCGCTGGACGTGAGCAAAAGCTGTAATCTCTCGCATAATAGACGGTATTTCCGAAATTTCTCATACAACGCCGGACAACCTTTCTGACCACAATTGATCAGTTTAGTCGACCTTAACTGGCACTTGTTTAATAAATTAAAAATATAACGTGCGACGTTTCGACCACGGGTTTGGGTCCTTATCAAGCACAAATTCTTAGACATTAATCGAGTCATTGCAGTATGTAATTGAACGGTAAAAAAATTATAACAAAGTTGAGTCATGATTATAAAATCGACGGCACAAAATAAAATATAAAACGTGGCGTTTCTACATTCTTCAAAAATAATTAGACGCGCTTAATAGCAATATCGTAACATCATATAATTGCCGTAACGATTGTCTGCGGATCGATATCACGACCAAGAAACTCCCGCCTTCAATGAAAAGATAAGAAGTTTTTCTACATAAATTTTTAAGCACCCCTAAAAATTTGCGTAAACTCTCTCGGCCGAAACTTCCGCCGAGTTTCCCCGCTTGTTATTCGAGAAACGGCGCGTCCTTGGACCAGCCTCCGCACCGTATTCCACCAGCGCCGGTCCGTAATTACTCGAATTTTCTCACTCGACTTAAACAGTCGACTCTCGTTCGCTCCCAGCCCGAGGATGGATGGATCGTTCGCGTCGAGGAAAACGCATCGTCATACGTGGTTGCCTTCTGTTGCCCGACACTCCTCACCCTCGGCCCGACGCCGAAAAATCCGCCCGGGTGCAAGGTGACGCATCATTTTCCTTACATGGCGAGGGATGCCGGAGCCATCGCCTCTCTTCCGCTCGTTCCGTAAACTGGATTCGGGGATAATCTTTTCGCACTGTAACGGAACACGTGGACCGCCTCTGCCCTGACGAGAGTCGAAATTTGTCAAACGCGCCGGGTTACGTCTCCATAAACGTGGCTCCGATTCTCACCTACCTTCCCTTTGTCGGCGGGAGAAACAGCTATTATTTCGTATCTCTGTACCAGGTCACGAAGCATGCGCTCCCGATACGCGAATCGGCGAACCTCGACGAGGAACAGAAAGAACGCCGTTCCCGCGCTCGCGAGCAGCAAACAGGATGATGGGGGAAGTGAATCGGATTAGGAGTTGAAGATTTGCAGCTCTTTGAAAAGTGATGCCGATCGGACGTAAAACTAGCTGCCGCTCGACGAGGAGTAAGTTGGCGCGAGTTGTGCCGGTGAACGACTTTCGAATTTAAAACCCGATCCGCCCTCCTTGATACAGGCCCTTGATCTTGATTAAAGATCTTGATTTTAAAGATCAAAAAAGCCCAACTTTAAACGCCACCGAGAAAAAGAAACGTGTCGTGTTTCGTTTTTGCTTTCCGAGGCGTCGCAATGACTCAATTAGTTTTTCCCTTCATCCCGAACTCTCATTTTTTCAACTTAATCCATCCCCTCCCCCAGTCTCTCTCTCTCTCTCTCTCTCCTCCCCTCTCTCTCGGTTTTCAGCCGATCTGTCTGCGGTTGACCGACTTTTTTGCGACACGTTCTAACCACCCGTTGTTGATGTCACCTGCCCCTTTTTTTCGAGACCAAACTGTACTTCTCAAGCCTCTTTTTCCACCCTCTGTCGCGTTAACTTCTACTTTTTTTCCCGCGTGCCGACACTTACGAACAGTCGGATGTATTGACGCGAATGGCTCTAAAAAAAGAACGTGGAGTGGAACAGCGGATTCTAATAAGGGGAGACGAAAATGGGAATACGCCTGGAGCAGAGGGTGCGGGCATACACGAGCCACCCTGTTTGTCGTTGGATATTTAAGTGTCGGATCAATCAAAACTGATTTTCGTTCTATTTTTCTTTTCCTTTAACACAGCCGTTAATTCGTTTCACACAAACGACACGCACGACCACGATGCAAAGTAATTACATCTACAGATAATCAGTGCGTTTCAAACGATGGTATAGAAAATTATAATTAGTTACGTTCTTTCAATCTGTTAGAAAAATATACGTTAGTTTACTTAGTATACATTTTACTAGTAAAATGTATGGTGAACTTTCAAAAAAACTCTCATAAAGTTGTTCAAAATGCCACGTTGTCCCACGACTACACGATTTTCAGGGTAAATTTGAAGGGAAAATTCTCCCCGTGTAGGGGAAACGCCATTGCTTTAACAAGATTATCGTTACATATACTCGATACGAAGCGATACTGCGTCTTTTGGTCGGTAAATAAATAATTAAGACACCATTAGACACTCGGGCATAAGGACTTCGCGATTGCTTTGTTAAGGCCGGAGATTAAAGCGCCTTTTCAATTAAATGAATAACCCAATTTGCGTGCGCAGTATTGTGAAATGTTCATGGAACTGCCGTAGAATACTGATCGCCGCGCACCGTGAAGTCTCAATTTAAGCGAAGACTTTGCGCAACTTTTGCCACAACGAGGCGAACCGTGACAGAAAACGACGGACTTTCCCGAACCCGCGACGATAATTGTCTGGTTATTCGCGCGATGACGTATCGCGAGGCGCAAACAGGGAGGGGGCGACCGAATTCGGAAGGCAGAGGGAGGAAGAATAGGTTTAAAAAAAGGCCAATTTTTCGGAAGCGGGGCCCCTGCGCGCGAGTCAAGCGGAAAGAAACCGTACGCTTCGGCTCACGGCTGCCATATGTCTGCGTTTCTGAAGCATTTTCGCGCTAGGACACCTCTCTC